GTGTAGGCCTTAAATCACCAAGGCCAAGCTTTTGAAAAATGGAAAATGGCATTAGATTAATGCCGGCTCCCAAGTCAAGCATTCCTGAGGCTTCTTTCCCATTCCCGAGGGCTATTTTGATGACAAAACCCCCAGGATCGAGCTCCTTCTTTGGTAAGTCATATTGCATTGCGCTCGAAGCCTCGTAAACCACCACCTTCTCACCATCGCCGAACCTCCTCTTTTTCGTCACCAAGTCCTTAAAGAACTTGACGTACGCTGGCATGCTCCTGATTACTTCCAAAAGGGGAAGGTTTACGTTCACTTTGGACAGCATGTTGTAGAGGTCCCGGAATTGCTCTTCCTGTTTGTCTTCTCGAAGACGGCCAGGAAAAGGAATTCGTGGCTTGTAAGGATTAGCAGATTTGTGGAGGACAGGTGCCTCCTTTTCTTTATCATCTTCTTTCGTCTTGTCGGGTTCGTCGGCTGGTGATTGTGTTTGTGGTTGGTTTGTTGATTGTATTGGTGGTTGTGCTGGTGGTTGTGTTGGTGGAACTGGATTGCCTACATTGTTATCGATCTCTCTTCCACTTCGCAGAACAGTTATGGCCTTAACTTGTGCTGGTTGGCTTGGTAGCTTCCCCTTTTCAACCTCAGCTTCAAGAGTAGAAAACCTAGTGGCCAGTTGGCCCACTTGGGTTTCAAGATGTTTATGAGCGGCAGCTTGATTGGTCATGAAGCTAAAAATTTTGTCTAGCCTCTCTTCTACGCTGGGCGAACTTGGGTTGGCCATCGGTGCTTGTGGCGGCACTGGCGGACGAGGAGGGTATAGAGCCCTCATCGGTTGCTGTTGTGGAACGAAGTTTGGTCTCGGTTGTTGCTGCTGGTAGTTGGTAGGAGGACTCTGAGTGTTGTTGTTGTTGGCCCAAGAGAAATTTGGGTGATTTCGCCACCCCGGGTTGTAAGTGTTTGAATATGGGTTGTTGATCGGTCGGTTCTGGTACCCTTGTAATGCATTGGCGTCCATCGTCTGTTGTCCAGCATTTTGATCAAACGCCGAAGGACAGACTTCGGGTCCGTGTCCCTGGGTACCGCAAGCACCACATACATCCACAGCCATTGCTTGAACTGGTTGGACACTTCTTGAACTCAACAGTCTCATCTGCTCAGCAATCTCAGCAATTTGCTGAGCCATGGCACTGTGTCTGATGGATATTTCGTCCACCGACACCTTCTTTCCACGAACACTCTTCTGAGACGACTTATTGCTTATCATCTCAAAGATCTCGAGCATTTCTTCTGCAGTACATTCCCCAACGTCACCCCCTGCTGCATTGTCCACCATGTATTGGAGTTGTTGATTTAGGGAGTCGTAAAAACTCTTCATCAACAGTCCCGCTGGAAGGTTGTGATGCGGGCACTGTCTTTGGAGATCTTTGAATCGCTCCCATGCTTCATGCATGGCCTCGTGTGGTTGTTGGGTGAAAGAAACAAGTTGAGATCGGTAGTCCTGCGTCTTCTGATGGGAATAGTATTTCCCAACAAACTTGGAATAAACTCCGGCCCATGTTGTAAGAGAGGCAGGGGCCAGAGTCATAAACCAAGCCTTTGCTCGATCCTTCAGTGTTTCTGGGAAACACCGTAGCTTCAGCTCGTCTTCGGTCAGGCCGTGGAGAGGGAAAGTGTGGAGAACGTTGTAGAACTCCCGGATAAAGTGTAATGGATCCTCTCCGGCATGCCCGTGGAATGATGGCAGTTGATTGAAATGAAGCATCTTTAACTCATAATTCCTGGCAGCTGGACTCAACCGGATACAAGATGTAACCGGGCCGATTTCGGGATAGCCCAAGTCTTTAAGAACATTCCTAGGTGGAACGTTCTCGCCTTGTTCTTCGTGCTGTGCCATCTTGTCCTGATCACTTGACTGGGCGCTTGTCGGATTAAATACAAGTCCACTCCTGGTCTGCATAAACAAAGACAAGAACCCGTTACGAGCACCAGATTAAAAATAAAAAGAAAATAACTTGAAGAACTAAAAGAAATAAATATATATATTTATATATAATTTTTTTTTTTTAATAGAAAGAAAATTGACGATACACAATATAAATCTTTAACCAGTCCCCGGCAACGGCGCCAAATTTGTTGTAGCAAATTTTGTTTTATATTTTTCCGAGCACCGAGTTAAAAACTCGTTTCCCGGGTCGATCTCAAGGACTGGTCAATCGAACTATATTATGTGTAATTCAATTTCTTTTATATATATAATAATGCAGAAAATTAATCCAGATTTTTGCTTGATTACAACTAGAAATTTACATAACATTACAGAAACAGAAAAGAAAGACAGTAAATAACAGAAAGTCAACTGGAAAAGCAAAACAGTAAATAACAGAAATAAATTACAATAGTAGTAATAATAGTAATAATAATATTAATAATAATAGTAATAATAATAATAATAATAATAATAATAATAATAATAATAATAATAATAGTAGTAATAATAGTATATAAACAGAAAGTAAATTGCAGAAAGTAAAGTGCAGAAAGTAAATTACAGTAATAATAGTAATAATAATACTAATAATAATAATAATAATATTTCTATATATATATATATGCGATAAGTAATTGGCAGGGAGTAAAGTGCGTAAAGTAAATAAAGCAATAAAATTACAACAGTAGAAATAAGCAATAACATTAAGCAATAATAGTTAATATTTATAACATATATATATATATATATATATATATATATAAGTATCCACAACTATTATTATTGTAGTAATAATATTCATAATCATTCCTTTAGGAACAATAAGAATAATTACGACTGCAATAACAATAATCGGAATATAAATTTATAACGTCTTAACGGAACGGAATTTACAGAATAACACTCGGATTTTAACTGGATAAACACTCGAATTTTAACTCACAACATAAAATAAAATTACACACACAAGTGTTTCAAGTACCAAATGAAAATAAAAACAAGAACAAGAACATCAAGAACACTAGAAAGTGTTTGTACTAATTCTAATATTTGTATCTAAGAACTCAAGCTAAAACTTCCTTTCCGAACTCTCCCTTAAGACCTCTCACAAATGATGTATTTATACTAGTTCAAGAGGGGACAAAATCACATCAAAATCATCTTAAGATCATTATGCATTAATGGCTAGCATATCTATCAAAAATCAGCCCAAAATCTTCCAAAATCCGCCCAACATCCATGTTTGAAAAGTGGGCGCCGCCCATGTTGAACAAGACTTGGCAGCTTGCGCGGTTTTACGGTTTTGGCTCGTACGGGCTCGTCCGGACTCGGAATTGAGTTCCGTTTTCTCCTACGCGTAGCTAACGAACCCCTCTTCAATTCAATGTCATATACTGGCCATAATTAGTTACAAAAGTTGCCCCAAAGTTATGCTGAAAAGTGGCCGCGGCGCGAGGCTTGGACAGCTTGCGCGGCTTTACGGTTTTTTCTCGTTTGGGATCATTCGGACTCGAAATTTAGTTCCGTTTTCTCCTACGCGTTACTAACGAGCTCTTCTTTCCAGCTATGCTCAAAAGAGCAATTTATCTTGTAACTCAAATCTTCACGGGGCTCGATACCAATGCGTCGGAAACGATAACTCTCGAAAATCCAGACTTATTATACCTGAAATTACCCCAAAAACCGGAAAAACACAAAAACACACGAAAATACACAAAAATACACGAAAAACCACAAAATACACAATAAATACTAGAACAACAAAAATAACCGAAAACAACTAAATGGACCGAAAGACCTTCTAAAAGACCTAAAAATGAGGGAAAATAAATGTAAAATAACAGTAAAAAAACGTAACAAAAATAATCACAACACATGACTACTGCAATTGGGGTTGCTCATTTTTTCAAAATTGGTGGATTAACACATAGTGATGCGAGGTTCGAAAGGGATAATCAGAAAGATCAATTTAATGTTGACGGTTGATTGAATTAAGTGTTCACAGTTTGTGGCCCCGTGATTAGGTATACAATTGTGTAGTTTATATATTTATTTATTTGTATTACTTATTAGTATGGCATATTCACCTTTATTTTGTTGTAATACCTAAATGGAAATCAATTTCAAGTGTTGTTCAAAATATGGGACTTTGAATTATTTTTGAGCAATGATAACTTGGTTGGCTGAGAGTTGAATAAAGCTATACTTTTTCAAAGGATTCATATCTGCAGCTAATTTTTTTGTGTTTAGTCAGTTTTCTTTTTTCTTTTTCTTTTTCTGTTTTGCTTTGAGCCGGTTAACATTTAATTTATCATGATAATTTGCAGATGTTGTAATTTCACTGCTGAGTCTGTTGTAAATTGTGCATTCAGCTTTGGTATGCTTTTTTCGTGAAACTTTGGTATGCTTTTCCGTTTTTCATTTCAACCCATTATGACGACGGACATAAGGGTCGGGGGAGGGGCGTGTGTAGGAATCCAGTGAAGCGAAGGTAGGGATAGAAGTCCAAGTGGCCAGCGCCGAGTTGGTGGCGGACATATATGGCCTTCTTCATCATGCGGCGCTACTCTTTGAGGAAGACCATAGTATTTCTTTTATTATTGATTGTTTATTATTACAAACACAGTCAAGATTTATCTTTTACTTACTATAATAATAAGTGTATAATAATAGGTTCATGTATGTCTTTTTACTTGGTGGGAATTTATTTTAATTATGTATTCTCTTATTATATGAACATGTCACTTTTTTGTTTTAATTGTGGTTTATGTGTAGCTTGCAATTTTCTTTATCGACTAAATTGTTACAATATTGATTTAATTGTGGTCTATATACAATTGGGATTATATGAGAAAGAGTCACAGTGAAAGAAATAAAAATAAATCGTAACGGTTAGATGTGATATATCATCGCTCTTGACACAGTCGAATGGTCTAGATTTGGTCAAAAGGATGGTGATATTTTTGTAAATATATAGGCTTTGTTTTTTCATCTAGAGGTATTTTAATGATTGTTATGTTAATGTGCACTTTTCTCTACTACTATTGTGCATACTACAGTGCTCGAATATTTTTATGTACAAATCCCAATATGATATTGTGTATTACACTGGATATTATTGTACACCTATCAACTTTTATTAATTTACAGATTTAATCTTAAATTATCAAACAGAACTGATGACAATCTCTGCATAAAAATACCAGTAAAATCGACGGGCAATAGCACTCGCAAGAATATCAAGGCAAAGAAAACGTTATTTCCTCCCTCTCTGAGTCTCCCTCGCGCGATCTCAGCCACTGTTGTTGATTTATTCGGCGTTCGCCGCCCGCTTTCGCGTTAGGTGATTTATTAATTTTGTTACTTATTCTTTTTTCTACTTCGAATTTCTGTTCTAACCTACTAGGTTTAATTAGCGTATGTAATTTGGCCATTTAGGAGATACATCTTATGGTGATTTGCCTTCTAGGGTTTATTATTTAAAATTATTTGGCATTTAAGATATAAATTCAAATTCTAAAGATTTATAGGACAAATTTATAGGGATAAACGTGCTTGAAGTTTTTGGTGTTCTCAGTAGATGTAGATTTGCGGTATGTAACTGTTTTAGGCATAAATGCTTGTCGCTTTTCCTTCTTTGTTGTGATTCTCAAGTTTTAATGCGGTCAGTGGGTTTAGGATTTGTAATTAAATTTCTTATGAGTTTTATATGTAGTTGGATTTAAAAAAAGTCTGGAGGTACAAATGGAATCGAGTGGAGGGAAAAAAGAAGACAATGACAACAGCTCCACGCAGCCATCGGCCATCTTGGACGAAGATAATGAACGCGTAGCCCTCGATCTCAAGGCTGGCCTCCACCCCCTCAAAGTTAGTTTTCTCTCCTTCTATAAGCATGAATGACTGTTGCCTCAATATTATCTTCATTTCCATTATTGACAGTGATTAATATGTTGAGATCATTTTTAGGTGTTTCAGTTTATCTTGTTCAAGATTGGTGTCAAGTTTTTTAATAATGTGAATCTCAAGTGTGCTTATTTAGTATGTAATGGATAAATGGAATTGTTCTATGGATGATCACTCCCGCATTTCATCTCAAAGAAGTATATATTTATTCCTGATTCATAGTCGTATCCTTAGACATGAGAGTAGCTACTTAAGAAATAAAGCAACTGCCCCCAACCATTATTCTTCTTTTCTGTATGTTTGATTTACCCTTTTTTGTTCAACTTCAACATATAGTGAAAATGATCTATGAATGAACTTTCCCACATGTCGTTGTATGTAAGTATATTTCTATTTGTTCCTGATTTATAATTGAGACTTCCTTCAACCATTACTCTTCGTTTCCTCATGTTTGATTTAGTAATTTTTGTGACTTCTTATTGAGAAATGATTTCCTTTCTATTGGCAGTGTCTCTAATTTTGACCAATTCAAATAGACTAAGAAGCTATTCTATCACTCGTGCAACTATGGACATTTAAGCTTCTCTATTGTTTTATAAGAAAATGATGTGAAAGAATTTCTTTATTTTCAGGCCTTAAGATTCCTTAGGAATGCATTGACATATATCTTTAATGTATGGTCAATTGGTATGCTCCTGAAACAGACAATTTCCATTTTGTTGTTTGCATCTGACTTATCTTTTGCATAAATCGTGCAAAAGTTTTCTGAAATTATCTGAAATGATTATTTTGCATTTAGCTTGATGTCATTATCTGAAAAGATTGTCGGGAGGTCATGAATCACTTTATGATTTTTCTTTCTTCTTTTGCTAATTTATATTATCCGTCTTTTCAGCACAAATTTATATTTTGGTACACTCGGCGAACTCCAGGAGTCAGAACTCAAACGTCATACGAGGATAATGTCAAAAAGATTGTAGAATTCAGTACAGTAAGGTTTCATCTTTGCAGCTTGAGTAGATTAAGGTTACCATATGTCTGGTGTCTCTGCTGTGTAGACGTGTCTTAGTCTTCACCGCAGCTTGTGAGATCCGTATTGTAACTGGTGCGTTATTATTTCATATCAACTGGGCTCAGGTAGAAGGTTTTTGGGTATGTTATTGTCACTTGGCCCGTCCCTCCACATTGCCAAGCCCAACCGATTTGCATTTATTCAAGGACGGTATTCGTCCACTGTGGGAGGTATATATTTCAGATTTTTCCCTTATATAGTTGTTCCACTACATTTTCATGTAGAACTAATAAGTGTGTCTTCTTTTTCACCAGGATTCTGCTAACTGCAATGGCGGGAAATGGATTATTAGATTTAAAAAGGCCGTCTCTGGCCGTTTTTGGGAAGACCTGGTACAGATAAAACTATTTTTTTTAGTTTTTTTCTTTCAAAAATATGGTGTCCTTGTTTTGCTGCTGTTACTAGATTTCTTCAGTTCCTATAGCATGTCTAGTAGACTAGTAGTGTTACGTTTTTTATCTGTTTGGATTTTGCTTCTTATAGGTGGATAATGAAAAGTGTGAATACAGTGTTGTTACCATTTTGTCTCCTGCTAGGCATGCAGTATGTGTAAGAAAGCATATATGGAAGAGTTGGACTAATACTAATATTACATTTGACATCAGGTCCTAGCATTAATTGGGAATCAACTTGAATATGGTGATAACATATGTGGTGCAGTACTAAGCATCCGTTTTAACGAGGATATATTGAGCGTTTGGAACCGCAATGCATCTGATAAACAGGTCATCTTTTTCTGCACTGTTTCTTTTCTTTTTCTTATATGTTGAACAAAAGTGACAAGTGAACTTTTCTTTATTATTATTATTACTATTATTTTTTTTGTAGCAGGCCGTGATGGGGCTGAGGGATTCTATAAAGCGTCATTTGAAGCTTCCCAACAGCTATGTGATGGAATACAAGGCGCACGATGCTTCATTACGCGACAATTCCTCTTATCGCAACACTTGGCTGAGAGGGTAGAAACAAGACATCGTTTCTTGACCACAATCCAAACGGTTTCATTTGGTCATTAAATGTTGTGATAAAATTCACAGTTTAATGTAATAATCTTATTCATCACTTGAAACTTTTTTCACCTTTGTAGCTCTTTTGGCGATACATTTTGTATGTTCATTCATTATGTACTCTGCTATGAATTGCATCTATCCTAGGGTTCGGAAGATGGGTTTAAAATGGTACCAGTTAGTATTTTGTGGAATCATTTCACTAACACCACTCTACATAAGGAAATATATGGCTGATGATATATTCCCCTGAAAGAGAATTCTTGGATTTATTTATTTATTTAATTATTTTTTGTTAAAAAACGGATTTTCCAAATCCGTTTATATTTTTTATTTATTTTTTATTTTTTTTAATTAATAATATTAAAAAAAATTAAAAACGGATTTAAAAATCCGTTTTTATTTTTTTTTATTTTTTTAATTAATAATATAAAAAAACTTAAAAACGGATTTTGAAAATCCGTTTTTAATTTTTATTTTAATTTTAATTAATAATATAAAAAAATTAAAAACGGATTTAAAAAATCCGTTTTTATTTTTTTTATTTTTTATTTTTTAATTAATATAAAAAAAAAACTTAAAAACGGATTTTCACGGGCGATTACACTATAATTAACCGAGATTGTATTAATTCGACTTCAATTGGACTAATTCGAGTTCGATTACACTGTAATTGACGAGATTGTATTAATTCGACTTCAATTGGACTAATTCGAATTCGATTACACTATAATTGACCGAGATTGTACTAGTTCGACTTCAATTGGACTAACTCAAGGTCGATTACACTATAATTGACCGAAATTGTACTAATCCGCCTCGAATTAGTCCATTTGAAGTCAAATTAGTACAATCTCGGTCAATTATATTCTAATCGACCTCGAATTAGTCTAATTGAAGTCAAATTAGTACAATATCGGTCAATTATAGTGTAATCGAACTCGAATTACTCCAATTGAAGTCAAATTAGTACAATCTCGGTCAATTATAGTGTAATCGACCTCGAATTAGTCGAATTAGTACAATCTCGGTCAAATATAGTTTAATCGAACTCGAATTAGTCGAATTGAAGTCAAATTAGTCCAATTGAAGTCAATACAATCTCGGTCAATTATATTGTAATCGACCTCGAATTAGTCCAATTGAAGTCAAATTAGTACAATCTCGCTCAATTACAGTGTAATCGAACTCGAATTACTCCAATTGAAGTAAAATTAGTACAATCTAGTTCAATTATAGTGTAATCGACCTCGAATTAGTCGAATTGAAGTCGAATTAGTACAATCTCGGTCAATTATAGTGTAATCGAACTCGAATTACTCCAATTGAAGTCAAATTAGTACAATCTCGGTCAATTATAGTGTAATCGACCTCGAATTAGTCGAATTAGTACAATCTCGGTCAATTATAGTGTAATGGAATTCGAATTAGTCCAATTCAAGTCGAATTAGTACAATCTCGGTCAATTATAGTGTAATCGAACTCGAATTAGTCCAATTAAAGTCGAATTAGTACAATCTCGGTCAAATTAGTACAATTTCGGTCAATTATAGTGTAATCGACCTCGAATTAGCCAATTAAAGTCAAATTAGTACAATCTCGGTCAATTATAGTATAATCGAACTCGAATTACTCCAATTGAAGTCAAATTAGTACAATCTAGTTCAATTATAGTGTAATCGACCTCGAATTAGTCGAATACAATCTCGGTCAATTATAGTGTAATCGAACTCGAATTACTCCAATTGAAGTCAAATTAGTACAATCTCGGTCAATTATAGTGTAATCGACCTCGGATTAGTCGAATTATTACAATCTCGGTCAAATATAGTTTAATCGAACTCGAATTAGTCGAATTTAAGTCAAATTAGTCCAATTGAAGTCAAATTAATACAATCTCGGTCAACTATAGTGTAATCGACCTCGAATTAGTCCAATTGAAGTCAAATTAGTACAATCTCGCTCAATTATAGTGTAATCGAACTCGAATTACTCCAATTGAAGTCAAATTAGTACAATCTCGGTTAATTATAGATTCGAATTAGTCCAATTGAAGTCGAATTAGTACAATCTCGCTCAATTATAGTGTAATCGAACTCGAATTAGTCCAATTAAAATCGAATTAATACAATCTCGGTCAAATTAGTACAATTTCGGTTAATTATAGTGTAATCGACCTCGAATTAGTCCAATTGAAGTCAAATTAGTACAATATCGGTCAATTATAGTGTAATCGAACTCGAATTACTCCAATTGAAGTCAAATTAGTACAATCTCGGTCAAATTAGTACAATCTCGGTCAATTATATTGTAATCGAACTCGAATTAGTCCAATTAAAGTCGAATTAGTACAATCTCGGTCAAATTAGTACAATTTCGGTCAATTATAGTGTAATCGACCTCGAATTAGTCCAATTGAAGTCAAATTAGTACAATCTCGGTCAATTATAGTGTAATCGAACTCGAATTAGTCGAATTATTACAATCTCGGTCAATTATAGTGTAATTGAACTCGAATTACTCCAATTAAAATCGAATTAGTACAATCTCGGTCAAATTAGTACAATTTCGGTTAATTATACTGTAATCGAACTCGAATTAGTCCAATTAAAGTCGAATTAGTACAATCTCGGTCAAATTAGTAAAATTTCGGTCAATTATAGTGTAATCGACCTCGGATTAGTCCAATTGAAGTCAAATTAGTACAATCTCGGTCAATTATAGTGTAATCGAACTCGAATTACTCCAATTAAAATCGAATTAGTACAATCTCGGTCAAATTAGTACAATCTCGGTTAATTATAGTGTAATCGAACTCGAATTACTCCAATTGAAGTCAATTTAGTACAATCTCGGTCAAATTAGTACAATCTCGGTCAATTATAGTGTAATCGAACTCGAATTACTCCAATTGAAGTCAAATTAGTACAATCTAGTTCAATTATAGTGTAATCGACCTCGAATTAGTCGAATTAGTACAATCTCGGTCAATTATAGTGTAATCGAACTCGAATTAGTCGAATTTAAGTCAAATTAGTCCAATTGAAGTCAAATTAATACAATCTCGGTCAACTATAGTGTAATCGACCTCGAATTAGTCCAATTGAAGTCAAATTAGTACAATCTCGCTCAATTATAGTGTAATCGAACTCGAATTAATCCAATTGAAGTCAAATTAGTACAATCTCGGTTAATTATAGTGTAATCGACCTCGAATTAGTCGAATTAATACAATCTCGGTCAATTATAATGTAATCGAATTCGAATTAGTCCAATTGAAGTCGAATTAGTACAATCTCGCTCAATTCTAGTGTAATCGAACTCGAATTAGTCCAATTAAAATCGATTTAATACAATCTCGGTCAAATTAGTACAATTTCGGTTAATTATAGTGTAATCGACCTCGAATTAGTCCAATTGAAGTCAAATTAGTACAATCTCGGTCAATTATAGTGTAATCGAACTCGAATTACTCCAATTGAAGTCAAATTAGTACAATCTCGATTAAATTAGTACAATCTCGGTCAATTATAGTGTAATCGAACTCGAATTAGTCCAATTAAAGTCGAATTAGTACAATCTCGGTCAAATGAGTACAATTTCGGTCAATTATAGTGTAATCGACCTCGAATTAGTCCAATTGCAGTCAAATTAGTACAATCTCGGTCAATTATAGTGTAATCGATTTTCACGGGCGATTACACTATAATTAACCGAGATTGTATTAATTCGACTTTAATTGGACTAATTCGAGTTCGATTACACTGTAATTGACGAGATTGTATTAATTCGACTTCAATTGGACTAATTCGAATTCGATTACACTATAATTGACCGAGATTGTACTAGTTCGGCTTCAATTGGACTAACTCGAGGTCGATTACAATATAATTGACCGAAATTGTACTAATCCGCCTCGAATTAGTCCATTTGAAGTCAAATTAGTACAATCTCGGTCAATTATATTCTAATCGACCTCGAATTAGTCTAATTGAAGTCAAATTAGTACAATATCAGTCAATTATAGTGTAATCGAACTCGAATTACTCCAATTGAAGTCAAATTAGTACAATCTCGGTCAATTATAGTGTAATTGACCTCGAATTAGTCGAATTAGTACAATCTCGGTCAAATATAGTTTAATCGAACTCGAATTAGTCGAATTGAAGTCAAATTAGTCCAATTGAAGTCAATACAATCTCGGTCAATTATAGTGTAATCGACCTCGAATTAGTCCAATTGAAGTCAAATTAGTACAATCTCGCTCAATTACAGTGTAATCGAACTCGAATTACTCCAATTGAAGTAAAATTAGTACAATCTAGTTCAATTATAGTGTAATCGACCTCGAATTAGTCGAATTGAAGTCGAATTAGTACAATCTCGATCAATTATAGTGTAATCGAACTCAAATTACTCCAATTGAAGTCAAATTAGTACAATCTCGGTCAATTATAGTGTAATCGACCTCGAATTAGTCGAATTAGTACAATCTCGGTCAATTATAGTGTAATGGAATTCAAATTAGTCCAATTGAAGTCGAATTAGTACAATCTCGGTCAATTATAGTGTAATCGAACTCGAATTAGTCCAATTAAAGTCGAATTAATACAATCTCGGTCAAATTAGTACAATTTCAGTCAATTATAGTGTAATCGACCTCGAATTAGCCAATTGAAGTCAAATTAGTACAATCTCGGTCAATTATAGTATAATCGAACTCGAATTACTCCAATTGAAGTCAAATTAGTACAATCTAGTTCAATTATAGTGTAATCGACCTCGAATTAGTCGAATACAATCTCGGTCAATTATAGTGTAATCGAACTCGAATTACTCCAATTGAAGTCAAATTAGTACAATCTCGGTCAATTATAGTGTAATCGACCTCGAATTGATCGAATTAGTACAATCTCGGTCAAATATAGTTTAATCGAACTCGAATTAGTCGAATTTAAGTCAAATTAGTCCAATTGAAGTCAAATTAATACAATCTCGGTCAACTATAGTGCAATCGACCTCGAATTAGTCCAATTGAAGTCAAATTAGTACAATCTCGCTCAATTATAGTGTAATCGAACTCGAATTACTCCAATTGAAGTCAAATTAGTACAATCTCGGTTAATTATAGTGTAATCGACCTCGAATTAGTCGAATTAGTACAATCTCGGTCAATTATAGTGTAATCGAATTCGAATTAGTCCAATTGAAGTCGAATTAGTACAATCTCGCTCAATTATAGTGTAAT